ATCCTGTAAATTCCCTTTTAACAACAGCCGAATTTGAAGAAGCACTAAATGACCTGAAAGATACGTCCTCAGGCCCAGATGATATACCCCCTATCTTTCTGAAATATCTTCCAGCAAACGCCAAAAACCATCTCCTACAAATATACAATATACTCTGGATACAACATGTATTTCCTAGCTTATGGAGGCAGGCCATTGTTATACCTATTCTCAAACCTAATAAATCATCACTCGACCCACAGTCATACAGACCCATTTCATTAACTTGCGCAATGTGCAAACTCTTAGAAAAAATTATAAACCGTAGGCTCATTTGGAGCTTAGATCAAAAACAGTTACTCGCTGGCGAACAATCTGGATTCAGAACCAACAGATCCACGTTAGACAATATAATTAACCTGGAAAATCATATACATGAAGCGTTTGACAATAGACAATACTCACTAGCTATATATTTTGATATAGACCGCGCCTTTGATACTGCGTGGAGGCACAAAATCACAACAACGCTGAAAAAATGGGGCTACAACGGAAATATACTGGCATTCATTTTGAACTTCTTACGTGATAGAGTCTTCCGAGTAAGAGCCAATGGAGTCTTGTCTACACAAAGAAACCAAGAAAATGGAATACCCCAGGGCTCAATCATTAGCCCCACGCTGTTTCTTATCGCTATAAATGACCTTTTGGATGCGATTAATAAGCCAATACAAGTGAGATTATACGCCGACGACATGATCTTGTATCTAAAAGAAAGACATCTCGATACAGCTAAGAATTTACTACAGATACAACTAGATAAATTATTGGAATGGTCCAAACAATCAGGATTTACCTTTTCGCCAGAGAAAACTAACTGTATAATATTTTCGAAGAAACCAGTAAGGTGCAAGCCAAATCTAAAGTACAATAATATTCAACTCCATTACACAACAGAAATAAAATTTCTTGGCATTATATTTGATCAACACTTGAACTGGAAACCACACATCCGAGAACTGATTAAATCCTGCCAAAAAGCAATCAACTTACTGAAATGTTTAGCAAACAAACGATGGGGGGCTGATGGACCTACACTTTTATACCTCTACAGGTCCCTAATCCGATCAAAAATTGATTATGGATGTATAGCATACGCATCGGCAACAAATTCGACCCTTAAACAACTAAATGTCCTGCACAATAATGCTCTGCGCCTTATACTTGGTGTTTTTAGGACCACACCATGTGACAGCCTATACTGTGAAGCTGGCGAGGCACCGCTCTACCTCAGACGTCAGATCTTGAGTCTTTCATATGCAACCAGAGTTCACTCTAATCCAGCAATTCCTATCCATAGTCGACTAGTAGCTACTATGTCACAGAATGGCATGAATATAACAAGAAGGGGCTCTTTCTGCCAGAGAACAAGTTTGCGTCTCAGATCACTAAACATATCGTTCCCCCCTACCTATCGCTCTTCAGCATCCTCTGTCCCACCTTGGCTGATCAACTTACCTGACATCAATACCAGGATGACAAAGCTTAACAAGCACGATGTACCTCACGAACTAATAAGACAGCGCTTCAATCAGCTTATGCAGGAAAATTTGGAACACCAAAAAATTTACACAGATGCAGCTAAAGTAAACTACAAAACAGGCGCAGCAGTCATCACACCGACCACTATTATTGCTACGAGATTACCAGATGAAGCTACAATTTGCACGGGTGGACTTCATGCTATAATGGAAGCTCTCCAACATATCACAGAGAAGGCAGCTACAAACTGGGTAATAATATCCGATTCACTGAGCTCACTCACAATGATTGGACGAGTTTACGTGAGTAACCCGTTGGTGATCAGTATCAAGGAGCATTTACATCGATTACATACGGAAGGCAAAAAAGTTAACTTCATTTGGGCTCCATCCCACGTTGGCATCCGGGGTAATGAGGAGGCAGACCAAAAAGCAAAAATCGCAGCGCAAGGAGAACTATCAGCAACAACAAAAATACCATTCTCGGATACAAAAACTTACTTCACTTATAAAATATATCAAGAATGGAACAGTGAATGGAGAAATAAAAATTCTAAGCTCTTAGAGCTCAAATCATCTATGGGGCCATGGCGCTGTATTACCCAGAATCGAAGACATCAAATAGTTATAACCAGACTACGACTCGGACACACCCAGCTCACTCATCGGCACCTTTTCAATAGAGAACAACCACCAACCTGTGACATTTGTGAAGAAACACTCACCGTTAAACATATCTTAGTGGAGTGCCCACTACTGGAAAGTGAAAGACTTCAACATAATATTAACGGAACTCTAGCGGATATTATAGGGGACAAATGTGACATTAACCAACTACTTATGTATTTAAGAAACATTAATGTTCTACATAAGATTTAATCACATCCACCGCTAATAACCTGTAAAGGTTGATGCGGTTATTTCTTTGAATAAAAAAAAAAAAAAAAAAAAAAAAAAGAAAGCGGTGAAATATACCAATAAATCAATTAACAATGATTTCTTATTTTGTAATTTTTGGTTTTACGATAATTATTAGCTAGAGAAAACGCATTTGATAGAGAAAATTAATCACAGAACGAGATTCTGGAATTACATAAATCATAATACTTTTCATAAGAATATGTTGCATGTATGGACAACATCAACACATCCTGAATGAGAAACAATTTCATGAATAAACCGCAATTATTCATAAACGAAGAATTTTAGTTATTACTGTGATTACATAGTGAGGTGCCGGCAATGGCATGAATATGCATACCACCACTATAAAAGCAACTTCTTTTATCTTATGGTATAGAATTACCGCCAATCTTTTAATATCACACTAATACTTTGTTTCCTCGAAGAAAAAAGCTGCATTATATCATTTTTAATTGGTCGCGTTATCTGTGTGAATAATTGGAACAAAAGAAGTCCTCGTTTACTGGAGGGTTTTGCTTCCCATAGAGTATATTTAAGGGCAGGGTTGGATTTTCGATAATGTAAAATGGTATATAGCTACAGCCTACTTCGAGCTGGAATGTAGAGCTTCAGTGTGCCTCTCGGAGAGTGAATGACTCCTTCTAGTACACTAGGCTATTGTTTTGTTGAGCTTCTTCGAGAAATTCTTTGATTTCCCAGGTCATTCACATTTTTTATTAGCAGTGTAATAACTTCAAATGGCTCTAATGGAAATGGGTTCCAGTCCACAAATCTTGCAGGCCCTAAGTGATCAATAGTTGTCAGGTGTTTTTGTTAGAGACTCACGAGGACCTATTGTAATGGTGCTGGATGTATGCAGTAAGCTACAGTGTATTTGATAGAATTTGGCAATCTGTGATGAGTTGCATTCTGGCATAGAGATCACCTTGAACAGTTTTTTATACTGTTCTAAACACCTCTTCTTATTCTTGCTAACAAAGATACAATTTCCAAGAAATTTTATCGCCGTGTAACCTCAGAGCGTAGAGATATGCATTTCGAAGGCCAACAATAGGCATAACTATCTTCAGACTTAAACAACTTGAAAATCACCTATGTTTAGCCGATTTTTTCAAAAACTTTTCAATACATTTATGCTAAAAATAATTTATAGAAAGGTTATTTACCCAACAGAATTACTGTATTCTGAACCCGATGTATTGCGGACCTTCGTCAGCAATTCTTTCTATATCGCCGAGTTTTTTAACACAAAATTAGAATAACCCTTATAAAAGCACAACAAAATTATGAAATATCTTCATTAATCAGAAACTCCAGTTCAATAGGTTTATTCAAAGGAAAACTGAAGAAATACTTAAATCAAACACCTAGAATCAAACTTCACTTGAAATTTTATCTGTGTAGTAGTGACTATGACCGAAATGCAATTTTTATTTCCCACGCGTACTCGCAAGAAAATCGAAAATCAAATATTATGTTTTTTGGATGTTGTACGAAAAATCATGTCCAGTGGCAGCGACGCTATATATATCGACAATATCACGAAGAAATCGTTCGTTTTTGGGGTTTCAGAGGCTACCGAACATTTAAAAAAAAATTGTTGTGTTTGACAATTGGGGGATTCGGGTGTTATAGGGAGTGGGGGGAAGAATATCACATTTTGTTGTCAGCAGTATATTTATGCATTTCGAACCCTGGCAATTTCACGCATCTATCAGGACAATCCCCCGTACATTTACCAGTATAAATGAACAATAAGTACGGGACACGCGATCGGTCGGGACGATGCGATGCAACGACGAGTTTCATACTCCGACCCCTGCCGGCAGGGACGTTATAGTATCGAGACTAAAGAGGGGTTTTCACGATACGGGTACACTCGGTCCGAGTGCGCGGTACGAGCTAAATCGTATAGGAGTCTACTTAGATAGTAGTCTACACGTTCCGAGTTAAAGCAGCCTCCTAGTAGCATTTATTTCAGTTCGTTAATGTTATCATGTCGACTAATTTATTGCTACAAGGCATAGAAGTAGTGGCAGATATGCTTATTTCGGAAATAGAAGGGCAACAAAAACCAAGAAAAAAAAGCAAAAGAAAGATTTGGACCCGCAATTGGATTTTACGGCGTAATCAACAGGGTGCATCAAATAATTTCCTTTGTGAAGTAAACATAGAAGATCAGGATACCTATAAAAATCATTTACGATTAAACAGCACACAATTTGAATTTCTTCTCAAAACAGTTGCACCAAAAATACAGAAGGCAGATACTCTTATGAGGGAAGCGCTACCAGCAAGGGTTAAGCTTGAGATAGTTTTGCGTTATCTAGCTACTGGTGACTGCTTTCGCAGTTTGGAGAGTAACTTTCGGGTTCCAAAATCCTCGATATCCCAGTTTCTACCTGCAGTGTTAGATGCTATTTACGAGGCATTGGAAGAATTTATACAGGTCAGTAAGTACAAATCGTATTAATTATTTATTCAAGTAAATACACATTTCTATTGGGTGAGGAGTGAATTAATTTTTGTGATAGCTACTTCTGATATGTTATTTACCAGGATCTTCAGGCCCAGCATCTTCACTAATAGTCGGTATGTTTCTTATAGCCTCTTCTAATATATTCTCTGCTCGAACGTCATTTTCAGACCCTGTTGCCTGAATGACAGTATTTGGTGGAGTATATGTTTTTAAAACTCGAATGGGAATATTTTGACCAGCATCAAATATATCCACATGGTCTGGTATTTCGATAAAGCATTCAGATTGTGGTGAGTAGCTAGAAGAGCTAGTCTGCTGGAGAATATGCTGCCTTTTCATTCTTAATAAATTTAAAATTTCTGTCTGAGCATCGAGAGCATCGGTTAGTGGTAGTTGTCGTAGTTGGCTAGCAATATTTTTGCCAAAATAATAGAACTCGTCTTCTACTTCTCTATTACACAGAGCTTTATTTTTAATTGACTGGAGTGTCTCGATTGATTTTTCAATATGTTGAGGCAATGCTCTCTTTGCGCGTTTCCTAGCTGGATGCGGGGGTACAGTAAAATGGCTACTATTAGGCGATGGATGGGCACACAAATCTGAGGGAGGGCTGGTAGGTATATCCGGTGAATGTGGTATATCTGGTAAGACTGGCACCTCTTGTGAAGGGATTTCTGATAATGCATCTGGGGAAGGGAAACTTGACTCGTCGAATTGTACCTGAAATAAAATAAAACTAATTTTAGGTTCGTTTGTATGGCTTACAGGTTCCGAAAACATACGAGGAATGGGATGTTATATCAAGGGGGTACAATCATTGTTGAAACTTTCCTGGATGTTGCGGCGCACTGGTTGGAAAGCACATAAACATACAAAAACCAGAACACAGTGGAAGTGATTTTTATAACTATAAAGGTTACTGTAGTACTGTTCTCTTAGCACTTGTAGACAGTAACTACTGTTTCACATATATAGATGTGGGAAGCCAAGGCAGAATGAATGACGCTTCAATTTTCAGTAACTCAATACTGAAAAAGAAATTGGAAGATGGCACACTCAATTTTCCTTCTTGGGGTGTTATATTAGGAGACGAAGCATTTCCGTTAACATGCTATTTGATGAAACCCTATTCTCGTAGGCTGCCTTTGACGGACGAAGAAAAAATTTATAATTACCGACTTTCTCGAGCGAGAAGAATAGTAGAAAATGCCTTCGGAATAATGGTATCAAGATTCCGTATTTATCGTACTCCGATATATGTATGTCCAGATAAGGTAGACAAAATAGTAAAGGCAACTTGCGCGATGCATAATTGGCTAATCAAAACAGCTTCGCGATCATAAGCACCTGTCGGCACTATGGACACGGACGATAGATCTGGTGCATGGAGACAAGAGCTTAGGTCTATTTATATTGCAGATATGCAGAATCAGGGCAGTAATAATTATTCCCAGTTAGCAGAACAAAAAAGAAGCAACTATAAAAATTATTTCATTGGACAAGGTGCTCTCTCATGGCAAAATGACAGGATATTTTAGGCAAGCAGTAATACTTGTGTTGTAAAATAATAAACCAATAATATGAATGTATATCTTGTTGTTTTATTGTACTTATGGTTAACTCATCGATTGGACATAAATGAGAAATACTAGGAAATCATACCATCGAATATAGTAGGTATATGATCAAAAAACAGCTTTTCTTTAAGCAGTTTCACTACTCGTTGTAAAAAGAAGCATAGACCTTGTCAGTCTATTTAAAACCCACTTGATCAAAAAGGACAAACTTGTGCAGGATTAAAATAAATAAAATGGCATCAAAACTACATTTCTCTCTCTAGGATGAAGTTACAAGTAGTACTTATCAGATTTTGAAAGGTTTTTCTCGGCTTAATAATTTCAGACAGAAATCTGTCGGCTATTTCGAACCATGGGACAGATGGTGTATATATATCGTCAGCCCCCGATCCAGTTCCTTCTTTTCTTGTGAATACGTGCTACGTATGTTATTTATTTTTGTATTGATATCCTGGATGGTGGTGCCTTCTATATTTAAGTTATTTATAATGCGCTGCAGAGCAGCATTTCTTGCGTCTTTATTCTTGTAAGAAACAAGTCTTACGTTCCACAATACCTCTTCTGCTTCATACAGCTCAACAAACTTCAGTGTATCGCGCTCGCTCCATCTTTTTTTCCGGAGCTGTTGCACATTTACATTTGACGGCATTTTGATATAACCGCAATGATCCGAGTCAGCTCGTAAAGTAGGACACGGTCCGAGTTCACTCTGATCGGACGATAACATCCGAGTGTGCTCGCATTACCGGTTTCCACGCTCCGAGTACCCATCCGAGTGCACTCGGACCGAGTGCACTCGTATCGTGATCGTCTGACGCTTATAACGAGTTTGACTGGTGTACTTAGGACAGGGAAAAAACGTTAGCGTTATTAAATGATAAGGACTATGGAGTATGTAAAAGTGCCTGTTTGGCTGCCTCGACCCATTCAATTTCTTTGATATACATAGGAACTTGGACAGAGTCAACCTTTTTTTTATTGATAAATATTGTCTTTAACGTTTCCGTCACTTATTTTGAGTCTAAAATTACGCGATTCTTCTATTTTCACGAAAAATTGGGAATTGAAGCTCTAGCTGGTAATCACGGTTCCTGATTCCAGACCTGTACTCCTTAACAGGAGTGATTTGCTAATGGTCGCGTAATGTGTGCAGATACGATACATGCTTTGTAGTTAATTGCTTTTATTTATTAATTAGTTTCCAGCCAGGAAGAAATGTCACGCGAGCTTCGTGTTGTTTACGCGTTCTATAACAATTTTCGATTAATCATAGAATTGAATAGATAGTGTTATTACTGTTCATTCAACAGATGCAAGAGACTTGTATATTTCAGATTAGAATTGCAGTCATTCATCCATTCGTTGATCATTTATCAATACAGAGTATTCTGAAATTTGGGCCTTCCTTTTCAGAAACAACTAAGGGTGGTGAAACAACAGCAAAAAAGTTTAAATAAATAAATAAAAAAGTTCGGGCACTTGTAAGTATGGTTCAAAGTTGTCTGCAATAGGTTCAAAGACACATACAGGGTGGCACATCGAAAACGAAACAGACGCATTTACTGGTAGTTTTGAAGACTTATTGATTTAAAGCTTAAAGTAGACTATAATAGGTACATCCGATTAGTTTGTACTACTTTCAAAAGAAATTTGACTAAAAGAATTTACTTAATAAGTAAATACTTTTGTTCACTACGCCCATGGTTTGTTTATCATTTTGTTGTTGAAAATAGCTATTGGAGCGTTTTTTTGTGGAGAAAAGTTATTTCTTGAAGAAAGACAAGGAAATATCTCGTAGATACTTATTTTAAATAGAAATTTAGTATATAGTTTGTGATTGATTTGACAAAACTTTGTTGCTAAAATAACTTGTAACCCTTTATTACATAAATTAACCATGGTACATTCCACAGCAGAAAGAGTTGAAATTATCGAAATATTTTTCGGAAATAATCAGTGCGCTAATAGAACAGCAGAAATATTTGATGAGCGACATGAGAGCAGTAACGTGCATCGAAAATATGTTCTAGAACTTGTAGCTAAATTTCTGGAAAATGGGTCAGTCGCCAATAAAAAACGCAACATTGAAAATCCCATAAGGAACGAAGCAATAGAAGTGGGGGTTATAGGGCAAGGTTATGTAGATCCTACGTTAAGTACCCGCAAATTGGAGACTGTGTGTGGTGTTAGTCGACGTACTGTCCAACGAATTCTAAAGGCCCATACATTTCATCCGTATAAATTTCACCTGGTACAAGAAGAAGACGATTTTGATCGGCGATTACAATTTTGTGAAGATATGAGTGAACGAATTATAAGCAATGAACATTTTCTATTCAAAACCTGTTTTTCCGACGAATGTTTCTTTTTCTTAAATGGCGTAGTAAATCGTCATAATTGCCGATATTGGTGCGATTCTAATCCCAGAATTTATCATGAGGTTCATACACAGCAGCCTTAAAAATTAAATGTTTGGGCTGGTATTATTGGCGATTTAGTTGGTCCTTTTTTCTTACCTAAAAATTTGACCGGTGAAATGTATTTGGAATTACTGGAAGACGCCATAGATCCTGCATTAACAGCCATAATTGAAAATCAGAATGATCGGCGGTACATTGCGAATAGGTTGATGTTCCAACAGGATGGTGCCCCACCACATTACGCATTACGTCTTCGACAATATTTAAATCAGAAGTTTCCAGATCGATGGATTGGTAGAAGAGGTGCCATTGAATGGCCCCCAAGATCGCCAGATTTATCACCTTTGGATTTCTTTATGTGGGGTCATTTAAAAAGCAAAATCTATGCTACTCAGCCAATAACATTAGAATTCCTGCGACAAAGAATTGTGAATGAGTGACTTCAAATTACTCCTCAAATATTGCAAAATGTGCGGCAACGTTTTGAGCAAAATCTTTATTATTGCATGGAGAGTCATGGTGGACATTTTCAACATTTACTTGCCTAACGGGTAGGTTCATTCTTCATTTTTGAATTACTTTGCTGCCAAATGTATTGATCTCCACTAATGATGTACTAGTTTTACTTAAGCTTTAAATCAATAAATCTTCAAAACTACTGAACTGAAGTACATTAATTTTATATCATTATAAAAGTAATTGAAAGACCTTTAAAAAAATCTATCACTCGACCCCCCTTTCCATTTAAGATTTTGGGGGTGGTGTCACCCCCGCTTAGGGGGCTGCACGTGCCAACGTGATTTTTTGCAAAACTTGTGTCCCCCTTCGAATACAAAATCGACGGGTCTGCGCGTTTTTCCAAAAAAAACTGAGCTGCCAGTAAATGCGCCTGTTTCGTTTTCGATACGCCACCCTGTATATGAGGTAGACGTGGTCAAGCATCAGTGCAGGCTTTTAGAATAGACTGCCTGTACCGAACGAATGCAGCACATCGCTAAATTCGCAGACGTAGTCCATCAAGCGTGTTTTATTCACTGAACATTTCATTTCGCCCCAAACAAAAAAGAAATCTCGGATGATGTTGAAAAACGATCTGCATGCACTCGCAAAGCCTCGGTATCATTTTAGAAACACTCACCGTAAATTAGAATAATATGGATAACTCCGATATTATTTTTGTTTCATTTTTTTAGAACCGATGTGTAAAGGTTTTGTTTACCAGCGCGACCAGTGCCTAGATTGAGTATTGCGGAACATCGTGCGTGTTCACGTTTGATATGAGATATGATCAAGGTGCAGGACTGGCTTAGGTTTTGTTTAGGTTTGATTTATATTGCTGAGCCATACATATCGGTAATCTTAAGACTTTGATGTTTATGTTACTAGAAAAAACTGCTAATTTATCCAAGATCTATACGCATTGTACAGTTTGTGCACTGTTGAATGACTAAATAGAATACATTTGCTGTTTTACTATACATAGTTAAGAGAAAGCGCAAAACAGGTTGAAAATTACTTGGTATATGTTTATTTACTTTGTATACCTTGAGTACTTGGCTGGGTATTCGATGTAGTGACTTGCTCTAGGTTATTTCAGGTACTATCAGTGTATTGAAGCTATATTTGCGTTTTTAAAAGGTTCCTTATCCTCATGATTAATTTACCTCTCCAAAAAGTTATACAAAAACAAAACGGCTGTGAAGCTTAGACAACTTGTTGTGAGTAAACCGTTGCAGGTTGCTGTGTTTATACCTTCTCAGCTTTCCAAATATTTGAGAGTCTTATAACATGAAGTCCGCTGCGGAATTCAGCAGCTATATATTTTTGGAACATTTGTTCTTCATATAGTTTGATTTTCGTTTTGTGGTTTTCGTTGTCTTTTGATAGCTCATATGAAATATAAACGAGTAAATAAAAACTGTAAGATACAATGACGTTTCAGTTCTAGAACAGTATTTTTTATTAAAAATACATGCACCTTGTATATAAAATGAACATGCCGTAAATACATTAAGCTTACTAAAAAATATCATCCAAGTTAGGCATTTGATATTGACAAGTATGTGCTGTAAACTTGGCTATTTTATTTATATTTATTGTGTGTGTTAATCTCTTGGAGAACATATCAGGAATGTTTGAGGAAAACATGAACCCAGACTCAGCACATCGCATCTGCAATTGTTTGATTTACACAAGTAATGCCGAGTACCTGGTACAAACAGAGTACTCGGTGCATTCCTAATATTTACCACATTCATCATAGCGGTTTCATCCCCTCAATTTTCAACTAGAGTAGTGCGATGCTTGAGGTATATAGAAAAAGTTTGGACTTTCATTTAGACAGCAGATAGTTCTGGCAACAATAATCAAATTCCTTCAAGACTTAAAATAATCAAGATTCCCAAAAGATCTGCTGGACTTCGTCCCTGCCTTTCTGACGGAAAAAAAGAAAATACGATACGCGTTGTTTGCAAAGCATCTAGTGTGTAGGTAAACAGAAGTGCTTACAAAATCAGATTTGAAAAAACCGAAAATGCTACGCCCCAATTTAAGTAACTGATTTGTCAATATGATGATCATTGTCTATATATACAGGGTGACTTTGAAGTTGAGTCATTAATTTTCAGATAATGATTGTAGAAGGAAGATAAACCAAAATATGTGTGTAAAAATAAAAAAAAATGTTACCTTGTTTAATAAAGTATCCTCCCGACAAGTATTTCAGTGCGGACCTGTATTTGATCGTGCGGTCTTGGAGCAGCATGCCCTCACCTGTGAGGTCTTAAGTCACCTGATTCACGAGCCCTTTGTATTACATTAACAAAGGCACGAGGGGTTGGTTGCACTCGATTGGGAAACCGATTCGCGTAAATCCGTGATGCATCCGGGAGCATTTTGTAAAGACTGCCCCCCCGTAAATAAGAATCATGTCCACAAGTTCAGCATTTTCGTAAACATGTGCCATTTTTGATTTCGTTTGAACCACGCAACACACTACTATTCACTTACGCGTTATCGACTGACGAAAAACATCGTGATAAACGTTTCAAATTCTTTCGCTTTTTTGTTTCCGATGCGATGAACCGGTCAGGCGGATTATATCCGTTGTCGCCAAACACGAGCATATAATAGGCAGGGCGGTACTCAAACTTCCAAAGGGCTATAACTTTGTTACTTTAATTTTACCAGAAAAATGGTAAAGGAAAAAAGCATTTCTTTTGATCAGATC